CCCCAAAACCCCAAAACCCCAAAACCCCATAGCTATTAATTTTTGATCAGAAAAAGTATAGAAGTTCAATAAACAATTAGGCCCTTAGATTAAAGTATATAACTTCTGGAAATTTAATTTTTATTTTAAATAATTTAAGACAAATAAAATGAGCAACAAGCGCCGTAGAAGCACATAAATCGATGATGATTCAACATTGCCCAATCTTTTAACATTTGATAAAAATACCTCGTAGCATAATCAACATATTACTGAAGCTTTCAGCTAAAAACATAAATTTTCAACAACAAACACAAGGCCAAGGAAATTTTTAAATGATGTATCATTTTCAATCCCATTAAACGGTAAAATAAGTTAATTTATAATTCTTCATAGAATTAATGTATGTGAAAGATTTTTGCTATAACAATCAAAAGCACACTCATGTTCCAATCTTGACTCATATTAAGAAGTTAGATCTTATCCCAGAGCAAGATTAAAGGATGTATCTACTTTAGGTTTGGAGTAACAAGGGAAAGGTACTATTTGAAATGCATCTCTAAGGTAAGAATTGCCTGTTCTTTTCCGTTATTTAATATAATTAAATAGATGATTAAATAGTATGGAATAATTTTCATGATGTTGTTCTTTTCAAACTATTGACAGACGAAGAGAAATTCATCTATATTTTAAAGCTAGATGGTAACAGATTGATAAAAGTCAGGGATTTATGGTAATTTGATTAAGATCATGAAAATGATGAGAAAGATCCCTCTGCAGAATGTAATTTTTCCTCTAATAAAATTTAAATAGATAAATATCTGGGGTATGACTCAGAAAGACTTTTTGTAGCTAATAGTAAAAGGATTTATATGGTGAAGATTGAGCCGTAACTCATTAATGCCAAGACTGGTATTTTTGACATCACTAAAGATAAAGTACGATGTCTAAAGCTCAATCCAACAGGTGAAATTCGCAATTTAACTTTTCACGGTTTCATTGAAAATTAAGAAATGCAATCATAAAAAGACAAGATCCTATGTCTCATAGAATTAGAGGATAATCAGATGTCATTTTAGACTTTATAATATGACACTGTATAAAAGAAATTCGAATTAGAATTCTATAAAGACATTTAGTTAAGGAACTCTCCTTAGTTTTAAGATTGCGAGGAAAGAGATGAAATAAAGAGCTTTTTATATCATATTGATCAGCATGACTGCTTATATGGAGTTGCTATAAGAAAATCAGGAATGGCTGATATCTATTATAATTACTATTTATGCAGCTCTTCCACTAGTAATTTATTTTTAATTAACAATCTATTAGATAAGTTTTAGAAAGCTATTATTACCAAGCAGGAAATAGTGCTAATGCAAATACAAGAGTAAAAACTGGGACCTGGAGGTCTTATCTTGCTAGTAGAAAGTTTAAAAGAGTACAAACTAAGATTCAAATTTAAATCTAGAATTGGATTTGATGTAGCAGAGACAAATTAATATTCTGGCGATGTGTGGACCATTTATTAGCATCTAAATATTGCAAACTTTATAAATCAGTTCAATTCAATGACAATGATAGGAATTCTCTACATAGTTTCCTTTGATACATTTGTCGGTATTTTTGATCTTCAAAAAAGAAATTGGGTTAAATTTGAGAATTTCAATCGAAAAGTAAAGAAAGTTATGAGATGTGTTTAAAAAAATAAAGAATGGAATCTTGTTGTCTTCCTAAGAAATAAAAACAGTACATCTAGTATATGCTATTATAATGCTGATAGAAAAGTTGAAAAATGCAACATTTTACACAAAGAAGATGAATTTTAAATTAAGTCAATAATTACAGAATGGTACAATCAGCAAAGAATTTATTTCATCTCTATGAGAGGAGAATAAATCCAATTAAAGATTATCTAAAATATGAAAATTGAAATAATTAATTTAAATGGATTTCAATTAAGCTAAAAACACTAGTTGGTAAAGTTGATATCGAAAGAAAACTAATAAGATAATAAATATGAGGATTTTGTTATCTTTGACAAGGAAATTCAGCAAATATATTTCTTCAATAAAGTTGAAGGAATGAGTAATACCTTTAAAATGATTAGCAGTTTAAAGATTTCGTTTCAATCAGATGAGAATACGAATATTTAAGTAAATAAGATTACAGCTATTATGAAAATACAAGTTCCAAATAGAATCATACTATTTGATGACAAAAATGGATATATATTGAACTCTAAATCAGATGTTAAACATAGAATCATATAAAATATACAAGTAGCTAATGTACTGCTTCTAGATTAGAAATATCTGTATTCAATCATTAATTCAAGTGAAAAATATGAGCAAGGAGTGTATTTTTAGAGTCTTGCATCTTTCATGGATGAAGATGTTGTCATTTAAGAAAGTGGAAGTTTCAAACTCAAGAGTGCAATAGCAGGAAGAAGCTGCTACCTAGAGTATTTTAAGAAAGATTAGAGAATAGTATATCAATCTGACTTTTAAACAATCAAAATTGTACCGATCCTGCATAGAAACATAATAAGTTTCTTTGGAATGAAGAAAAGAAGCAAATATCTAGGCTTCAAAAGTATTGGAGAAGACTTGATTGGTTTAGATTATTCAGGGAAATTGACAAGCTGGAATCGCTTTAATGGCATGTTAAATACTTAGCTGGTTATTGGTTCATTTGACAGCAAATTTGATGATGATTCGAATATTTCAAAATTTAGTGTGTTTGGTTCTGATATAAAAGAGATGCAACCCTCATAAAGAGAAAATATAGATGAAAATTTTGTTGCAAAAGGAAGGTCAACTACCTATATGAAGGATTGGCACTCAGATGCACTTCTTTTAGTAAATTATACTTAGGAGATAAAAAATGTTGACGAAAGAGAATTCTTCGGGAGCAGATATTTTACGGGTGGTGCTAACTAAATTACAAAAGCATTTATTAAGACTCAGCCTAAAAAATTTTATGAATTTAAAGTCATTGAAATCATAAGTAAAAGTGAATTCAGAGAACACTACAACTTCATTCATCCGATTTTCAAAAACTCAGATTATACAAAAATTCATATCAGTAAAAATAGAGAAAAGATGTTTGAAAAAGTTGACGAATTCTCTGTGTTTCTCTATAATAAAATTGGAAACGATTTAGATGAAAATAATTTAAGAATAAAGTGGAATCTTATCAGAAGAATCTATGATTTTCCTCATGATATTAGTAAATTCAGTGACTACAACTATCTTCTCTCTCCTAACTTCAAATACTATTTGGACTTTGATATCTCTAAAAATTTCTATAAGATAGTCTCTCTAGATTAATCAAAATCTCTCGATTCATACAATCAATTTGAGTTGAATTACTATCTTGATTAGGGAATAATAAATCCTCATAGAGATGACCCGACTTAGATAGCAAAGAAGTTCATGTGGATAAATGATTACACATTTAAAGTTATTAACAATTTCGGCTACGAAAAAATCATCTAATTTAATAATGATGAGCAAACTGTTACCTTTTAAAAGTAATAAATGATTTTATCTGATGTAGGAAAGCAAATAGGATACTGCAAGATACCTATGTTAGATTTGAAGAAAATAAATGATACCAAACATTATCACTATTATTTAGACTATAATGTCCAGAATACTGATGATATCGAAGAGCGATTAATGATCAAGTATTAGAGATACTTTTCCGCTGTCAATGAAAGATTATCATAGAAAGATGAACACAAAGAATCTAAATTTTTAACATCAGATGAATTTGATGAATTAATGTATACAATAGACTATAGCTAGAACAATTGCTAAGATAGGCCTATCATAGATATGAGTTTCACATATCTGCATTGGAAAATAGTAGAAAGAATTGAAAGCGATCAAATAGGATTAGATTTTCTAAAAAAGCTACCAATAAAAGATATCAGACTCTTGTGTCTTAACATCTTTCCAGAAGGTTAAACGATCCTTCATGTTTTGTTTAACAACATTACAATTCTCTAAGAACTCTACTCTATAATTAGAGAAGATAATAATAGAAAATAATAAGAATTGGTCGGAATATATGGTCATGCCAGTAACTATATTAAATTCAATATACCGTTCATACTAAACTACAAAAAGCTTTCACCTCTTCACTTGTGCTTAAGGCTAAATAGAAAAGGTCATCTTAATCAACAGTAAAATGAATAAGCTGCAGATGTATTCCTATCACTCATCAAAGATGATGATATCGACAATCACTCAAGAGCCATTGTGGATATACTGCCAAATTTAGTAGAATTAGAGTTGCCTAGAATGGGAATTTATCTCGAGAGTAGAATAGTTAGAACCGATATTTTAGATACATTAAATAGAGGAAGTTTAAATCATAGAAAAGGAGTTAATTACGCTATTGAGACTTGCCTCCAATGGCCTGATAAAAAATAACTAACTAATCAAATTTTCAAAAAAAGCAGAATTGAAAATGAAATAAGAGTAGAAATGCTAGATATTCCACATATTCATGATTTATTCACCCATGAATGCGTGAACTTTGCTGAAGCAATAAGCAAAGTTGAGGATATATAGATTTTCAACAATAAAGCCATTATGTGTCTTATTGATTTTATGTGGCCAATAGCCAAAAGACAGACAATCAAGTACTTGTTCGTTCCGTTTCTTGTTTATTTGGCACTCTTCGTTTCATATTCAAATGTTTTATGCGGGTAGGTTGAGTAAAATTACCATATATATGATGCAAAAATAGTAATTATTGCACTTCTTTACGTAATGAGTATCTACTTGCTCATAAATGAAGTAAGGCAGGTCTACAAGCTTAAGCTAAACTATTTTAGATCAATATGGAATTACTCAGATATATCTCCACCTATACTAGTCATTATTGTGATATCATTCCATCTAAGGCATCATGTGGACAATAGCTATGAGCTACCTAGCTTTATAATTACTCTACACAGCTTTGCAAGTCTCCTAGTTTGGATAAAGTTTCTATATTTCCTCAGAATATTCAGAACCACAGGATATCTCATTAACATGCTTAGTACTGTTCTTTGGGATATGAAAATTTTCCTATTGATACTGCTAATCATTTATTTAGGTTTTGCAGAGGCTTTCCTAAGATTAGCCGAATCTTCTGAAGAAGAATTTAACTTTGCTAAGAATTACGCCTATGCACTTGTTTATGCTTTTAGACTAAGTATTGGAGATACGGATACAGATTTATTTGATGACAATAAGTAGCCGATAACCATTTGGATAATTTTTATACTCTGTGCTCTCTACACTAATATTGTCATGCTTAATCTTCTAATTGCTATCATTTCCCAATCTTTTGAAAAGATCAACAATAATGCTAACTAAGCAAGCTACCAGGAGAGATCCAGAATTATCTTCGAAAATAATTATTTGATCAGTAAGGGGCTCAAGAAAAACTTTTGTGAGAGAAATAGCTATTTAGTAACAGCAAGAATAATCGATGCGTAGAAATCTGCTTAGGAATTGGAAGAATTTAATTAAGAGAAAAATTCATAAAACCTAGAAAATACACAAAATGTCAATCAATAAAATATTTTTCCTAATTCTCCAATTAGACAGAGTCAGAGTCCTGATCTTAAGCTAGTAAGAATGCCCACTGTTAGTGTAAATTTCAACTTTTTTAATTTTATAGAAATCAAGTACAGAAGTTGCTCTTGAAAATAAGCTAAATACGATTCTTAAGTAACTTGAAAAATTGAATATGAAGGAAAGATATTAAGATTGATAATACAAAATTCAATTTAAAACTCATAGAAAAATAATAATGCTATTGCCGAATTTTATTTAATTATTATCTCAAAGTTCATTTCATAAACTCAATTTTAGTATTTTGGGGTTTTGGGGTTTTGGGGTTTTGGGG